AGCTAAATATATATTGTGCCATTCTGTAATGTTATTTAGACGTATATAAGCTACTATGTAAAAAGACAATCTTCATTTCCTTCTTAAACTGTAAAAACAGTTCTCCATTTTGCAGGTCTTTATCAACGCCATCATGAAATTAAATTGAAGTCTCACCTTAAGATGGAGGTTCTTTAAAGTGGGGGTCCCTCACTCTAGCCTGCAGCAATACCTGGCAAATTGTGAACTGTTCAGAAAGCACATCACTGCGAACACAACAGAGAGATGATAAATATTTCTATTTTAACATAAATAGTGATTTTTGCAAACAATACCTGTTAAGTGGATATTATTGTCTGCAAATGTGTGTACATATATCTGAATATAAATATCAGTATTTCCACCTGTAAGAGAATTAAACTAACTGTGCCAAAACTCTAAGGGTGTGTTGTGTTCACACTTTAAATTTGATAAAAAAATGGAGCTCTGCAAGTGCTGTTCCCTAAAATAAACATGAATGCTGTCATAAAAGTTCTTTAGGTAAAGATTTATGAGCTTGCATTGTAAACATAACAATAGTTCACCCCAAAACTGAAAATTATGTCATCATTTTCTCACCCTTCACTTGATCCAAACCTCTTTGTCTTTCTATTGTTGAACACAGAAGAAGATATTTTGAAGAAAGCTGAAAACCTGAAAGTATGACCGAATACTGTTATTTTCTTACAATGGTAACCTAAAGGTTATATGTAGGGCCAGACAGGATCTGTGGATATTTTTAGCTATTTCTGCAGAGAATTTTGTAAACATCTGTGAATTTATGTGGTATGATTTAAGGTGTATCATAACTACAAGCTTAATATATGAAATAAAAAATAAAAAATCTTAAAACCTATGTTTACAATGCAAATCCAATTAGATCCACTTATAGGTAAACCTAGCAAGTCTCTTGTATAATATATCTTCTGAAAGAAAGAAATTATTACTCTACAAACTGTATTGTAAATCAATTATATGAACATTTTTATTACTATTACTATATCACAAAAATTTTAGTGAAATTAATTAATTAATATGAACACAAATTTACAGAAGTACATAGAATCAATGACAGGCTAAATATTCTGCAGATATCTGCAGATTTCTGTGTGCGCAGATTCTGTGTGGGCCTTATGCACTGGGAAAAATGGTTTATAAAGTTTATATATACATTTATAAAACTTAATAATATTTAATATTAAATAATAAATAGCCTAGGCTACTAAAATCTGCTCTAAAGGTAAAACTGAATAAATAACTACTCGTGGCACATGAACATGTAAAGCCTGCAGCTCAACAAACCGTTTACTGTGAATTGTATATACTTTGTTCACATGGATAATTGAACATTAATCAGATGATGTCATTATGCTGTTGTGCCGCCAGCCAATCACTGCATTGCTGATCATAATTTTGAGGATGGATAGATCACTCCTTCACAACACGTGCATCAATCTCAGATCAATTCAGGACATTTTTATCTGATTTGCAAACTTGTTTGAAGAACCAAATTATCCACAGATCAGTTATCAAGATTAAAAGATCCAGGATCTGTCAAATCATCAAATCATTAAAGCAAGGTACAAAGAACAGAGCCCAGGACTAAATTTTTTTGGGGTTGTGATCAAACTACAAATGTAAACACTCTAAAATATATAGATGATCTATTTTCCAGTACTACAGAGTGGGTAAAAAATAACTAGGTATTGAACTTATAGGTATTGATATTTCTAATACTGCTGTATCAGCATGTACCATATAAAAAATGAATTTTAATTTACTATGGTCTATTTAAGATTGTCATCATGAACCCAGTAATACAACAAGGTAATGTAACCAATAAGTATTGCTTTATAAAAACGCGTTCATAAAAGGTGTGCCTAATGTCTCTCCTCCAAAACAGCAATAATTAGAGTGTTAACACTGTACTGATGAAAAGCTTTCTGTTTGACGTCTCCTCATGAATTGTGTGTATTGATGGGAGTCGGTAGTGAAATGTGGTCTCCTCAGATGGTGTTGTTAGAGTGCAGAGCTCTCAGTATTTGGGAAACACGCCCATGTTCTTTTCAGACTTACGTAACTTGGCAGTGAGCAGGGGTCCAGATGGTTTGAGATGTACGTAAGATTGCTGGAGGTTTGCACACTCAGACGCCCACAGGCTGTGAGACACAAGAGGAGGAATTCAGCTGTGGAGATACAACTCAATGAAACCAATATATTTAGATTTACTACACATCAAAACACATTACTGTAACAAATATACAGCTAACGACAGACTGGCAACTCACTGACTCTCATATAAAAAAAAAGAAAAAGACACTGACACTCCACGATAAACCATGCATAAACAATAGCCTCCACAAACCTAGTGGTGTTTAGTCTAAATACTAAGTGATGAATATCCCCAGTTTCAGCATTTTTAGATCTTATTTAATATTCAGTTGAGATCAGGAACAGGAAGGGTTATACAGTATTTTAGGAGATAAGCTTTCAGTTTGTCTAGTAGCTATAAAATCATGCTAACATGGGTACAGAGATGAGATGATATCAAGTTGAAGTATGCTGTCATACATTTAATTTATATATATATATATATATATATATATATATATATATATATATATATATATAGATAGACAGACAGACAGACAGACAGACAGACAGACAGACAGACAGACAGACAGATAGATAGATAGATAAGCAGCGATGAGAAATACAGTATGTTTTAACTGCATTTATTCATCTCTGTTGACATTAGTCAAATTTAAAAATGATTATTCTTTTTTTACTAATACAACATTTAATACTTTCAAAGAATGTTGGAACTAGTATTAAAATGTACAAATGCTGCTAAAGTATATATGTAATGTAATAATAAATTTATTGACTATAACCCTTGTGCACAGTTCAAATTTACCACCCTTTTTATGTTCAGGATGAAAACATCCACTGAATTAAACTGCTGTAAAAATGCATCAGATAATTATTTTTCTTTTTGTATAAATCTGTTAATCAACCTCAGTCCTGATCAACACTATTAAATGTTTTTAAAAAAAGGATTTTACCTCATTAATTGCCAAGGTGACATTGATGTCATTGATTTTGTCAAAAAAAAAAAAAAAAAAAAAACCTACACAAAATGACATATTTTCATCATAAAAATTATTTGTGGACTAGAAAAAGTGGAAAAAAAAAAAATATATATATATATATATATATATATATATATATATATATATATATATATATATATATATATATATATATATATATATATATATATTTATATATTCAGTCCACAATTACTTTTGATATTGAAAACATGACAAATCAGTAATCATTTATGAATTTGGCAATTAAAGAGTTAAAATCCTGTAATTTCTGAGGTTGATAAACAGATTTATGCAAAAATAAATGACTCATCTGATGCATTTTTTACAGCAGTTTAATTCAGTGGATGTTTTCATCCCTAACATAACAAAAGGGTGGTAAATTTGCCCAGAGTGCATCATTAAGTTCTTTAAAGAATTAATAGTATTTTCTCAAAATATGTATTAAAATAAAATTTGTCACCAAAAATCCTTCTGCTAGCTGAAATAGATAAAGTTGTGGCCAAACTATGACTCAAAATCACCCCAAAGAGGATGAAATCATACCTAACAGTATATATAAGGGTAAAGATTACACCAAACAATGTCTGCCTACATGGGGGCAAAAAAATCTACTCTGATTATTTTTGGATGCATTTTAGAACTAGGTGTTTCAGCATGTACCAAATGCCCCTGGACATTTCTTTCCACAAAGTAAAAAATCAGAGGCTCATTATTAAGTTTGCTTGTTACACTTTCATCTGTACCTAAAATGTACCAATGTATTTTAATGATTATTTTGAGAAATTTGACGCAAATGTGGTGCAGCAGACATTTATCAAACTTTATTACCATGTGTTTTAAAAACATTTCAAGACAGTTTAAAGCATTCAGCATACATTTGTAACTTTAATGAAGAATCATTTTACTGAATTATTATTACAACGAAGACTATACAGTGTTATTTTCCATTTCATTAATCAATATCTGTACCTGAATCCTGTTCAACTCTCTAAAACCATAAACAGGGTTTCTGCAAGGTAAATTTAAGACCTTTTTAAGAACTTTATGTATGAATTTTCAGACTTACCCTGATAAAGCACTGGATTTTCTTTGCTCCATTGTAATTATTCTTGCTTGCAATTTGTTTATTGTTTTTATACATGATTCACTCCCTAACAAAATCACCTCAATCAATCTAAATGAAGGATTTCGTTCCAAATAGAACTATTCAAGTCATCTGGCAAAATTGTATTCATATGCCAATATATATCACAGAAAAACTAAATATTGCGATGTCAGATTTTTTCAGATCATTCAGCCCTCCTGCAAATGAGCATATTTACATCATTAACTTGAAATAATGTTAAATTTGGACAAAACTAAATCGCAAGATGCTCCTTTTTTATCCATATTTGTATTCACTATGCATGGGCCAGTTTAAGATTCTGACGGTATGATGACCTTAGAGAGTAAGTACTGTGGTTACTGGTCTAAAATATAGTATTTTTAAATGTCTGGGTAAAAAAACTAAAGCTTTTTTCCCTTTGAACACTATATTTTATTTTGAGAATTGTTTTTTTATATTTTGGAGCAGTGAACAAGTCAGGCTAAGTAATTCAAATGAATCATTGACTTCTGCTGTCTTCATTAGTTTCAAAAACACAGATTCTTTACTATTTAAAATGGCATATTTGGAAACATATTTGGACAACGAAAAAGTAAAACAAAATGTAAAACAAATTCAGACACATACCTTAGGAACAGTATAGAGAAACATTTTGGGGGTTTTAAAACCTTGACTTTTCCAAACCGCAGTATACCTTGAAAACGATTATCGTCCCATGCCTAGTATTCAAAACCAGTTATTTACCATATTGCATGATCCGTATTCAGTATCACTCTCTCATTAACAACTAACTACAGTTCAATTGAAACGAAGACATATGTTTGGAAGATGAATTTATGTACATGCTCTTTATTTAAATTGTGTTCTTTTCAAATAAAATATTATTTGGTGTACCTTCAACAGCCAAAGAAGAAAGAAAACAAATGAGCAAGAACGCTGAACAGACATTGAGAAATAAATCATCTTACTTTCATCCTATTAACCACAAAGTCATCAGGTACTGCCAAGAGCTCAATAACAACCGAACATAATTTCAATTGTGGTTAAAATAAAGGCAGGGCTTAAAGCACATCTATATATCTGATATCAACACTGCAGTAAAAAAAAATTACTCTCATATAGCGAGGACAGTAACAGTTACCGGAAAAGCAAAGAAAGAAAGAAAGAAAGAAAGAAAGATGACACAAGCCTTTATTCTGCTGTTGTTCTTTCAGTGCTGCTGTGTCTCAGGTAAGAAAACTATTTTATTAAGTTCATACGAGGCTTTATATAGGCATAGTCAAGAACTGATAATACTTAAAACACTCTGCAACAACTTGATAAAAAAAATAATAAAACTACCTGTCTTGACAGTAGTGTTTGAAATAATAAATATACAATATAAATGTTTATGTACACTACTAAGTCTGGGGTCAGTAAAGTTTAAGTAACTGTTTTATTTTAAAAGGAAAATCAAATGAATACATTTAGCATTTAATAAATAAGAAATAAAGATTTAAAGAAATAAAGAAGACTTTATTTATAACAAGATATTTTAAATGTACGATGCTCTTTTTTAACTTTCCATTAATTAAATACGTTTTCACAATATACAACGGCATACTTTATTTATTTTTTTCATAATATCATTACATGTTACTTGGTTCTAAAATAAGCATGGTAGAACCACAAAATTCTGCTTTGAATATGCTAATGACCTTTTAAAACAGTAGTACTCAACATTTGATGAGGTATCTGTCAAAGATGTAATAAAAGCAAAATGTTTAAATATGTATTTAATAATTTTTTTAATTGTTCAATAAAAATATTTTGATCAAATTTAAATGCTGACTACTGTATAATAAAATGTGAAACAGTGCCATGAAGACATTTAACATTACCATTTAATCAACCAGTTTCACTACAAAATTAATGATTATGTGACAATATTTGTATAATCATATTTATATTTGTGGTTGCAAAAAAAAAAAAAACAGATTTTGGTTCAATATAAAGTAAAATCCACAGCTAATTTTTGTAATGTCAGTTTGGTAAGCTAAAGAGAGATGTTAAAAAATAAAAATACAAACTGCAAACTTATGAACACAGTTATAGTTTTCTAAAACAGCTGACAAAGTTGATAATGTGAAGGACAATAAATTCATTTGTAATAGCTAATGCTTAAGTGTTATGTATATCTATTTTATTGAGGTAAAGTAGGTTTGTTATTCGTACATTAATTTATTTAATGGCCCATATATTGTTTACCTAGCTATGTTGAATATTGAGTCTGAAATAGCATGCAAGGATGACTTCAAAACAATATTAGCACTGTCACTGACTGTGAACAATACTTTGATAGTCATTGAATGCTAATATGATTTCACTCCTTAGAATTTGCAAAGAATACTTTTCTAAAATTATATTATTAAGCAGAATGTCTGAATGTGCGAATATAAACCCAACTTTACCTCTATATCTATTTTTTATTAAACAGGGCAGCTTCTGTTAGGATATAGGCCTAACTTTAGTCCTCTGGCTGATCTGGCTCTGAAGGTTTCTGTTGATGCCTTCAACAGGCAGTCCAGCCATTTCAGTCTACACAAGCCAACTAGCAAAGCAGTTCAACAGGTAAGACATCTACATGTATTAAATCTGCCAGCTTCTCTCTGTCCTGTACATATAAAAGCGGCCGCTAAACCGGTGACCGAGCGCTTTTTCACAGTCAACTACCGCCATCTAGTGCTTATGTCAATACAAGTCAGCAAGAATTGAGTAACATAATTAATTGTTTACTCACCCTCGTGTTACCAAATCCGTAGTCTGTTTTCATTTAACGTTAATAAAATAATGTAACATAATTATGTCCTGTTGTAGCATTGCGAGTGAAGTTAATAAAATTATGTAACAGATCTACGTCCAGTTGTAGCACAGCGAGCGAAATAGCCATAACGTATGCCATAGTTATTGGCCTATTTGACTCATGCCAAACTAGTGTCACGGCAGTTTCGTGGGGAATTTCTTATTAAAGCCACACAGTCGTGTAGGTACATATAATTTCATAACCATATCTACGTTTTAAAACGAACACACACCTTTCAAATTGTAAAACATTTGACAGCTACAAACCTACACCGCACGCCGTCAGCAGATCATCCGCCATCTTGAATGGATCATGTGTCATCACTCACAAAGTAAAAAGTATGGACATGTTTTATCAAAACTGTTCATTTTCTTTATCAGAGACAGAAACTGTGCCGATTTTTTATTTATTTATTTATTTTTTTGAATTGTCAGATCTCGAAGAAATTATGACCATAAATGGCAAATTATTGCCAAATTTCCGTTTAGAATACCAACATAATTAGTTTTGGGTTTTTGAACTACAACAAAAACAAATGGAGAAGGACGCTTATGTTATTAATCTTTTGATAATATTTACAAAGTACCACATTCACAGTTGCAAATTTAATAAAAAAAAAAAAAACATTTTATCCTGCTACAAATAGAATCAAAACACTATATAAATTATAAAGCAAAGCACTAATAAAAAAGCCATCAAAACCTTTACTTGAAACCTTCAAGATTTTGTAATCAAGACCCTTCTCTGTTAGTATGTATACATTGTCTTATTTTGTTTTGTAAACCCCTGACATTTTTTTCTTTTTGTATTGTTCTAAATGTTGTTCTTTAAGCATTAATAAATAAAAAAATATGGACATTTGTTTTGTTCATAAATCAAAAATGTCTCTGCTCGTAAAACATTTCCAGACAAAAACGGATAACAACAAATGAGAAGTAATATTAGCTTTGTGTTAAACCCCACAGTCATTATATTGTATTTGTTAAATAGCACACCTACAATCAATGAACTTGTACTACAGAGTGGCCTTGACCCTATATATCTACCTTTATCCGCACACAAGGTCTTTAAAAGTAAAAATAAAGGAAAAAAAAACTAGTAAAGCTAGGCTAATTAATAGTAAATAGGCCTACTAGTCTATAGATAGTGTATTTACATACTACACTTTTCTACTACAGTAAATTGTGGTGTATTGTAGTTGTTTAAGAATACAGTTTTGTGTATTTTTTTATATTAGTTGTTTTAATGGCAACTACATAATTACCGAAACATTAATTCTTTAACATAAAGGCTAGTATTCAAAAACACTATATTATTTACTATAAACAACTACAGTATTTTATCATATGGGTTGTTCTAGATACTATTTCTTTGTATTTGTTTTAATTTCAAATAACTGTATTTGTTTTCATTTCAAATAACTATAAACTACAATTAAGTCAATGTTGATGCATGTTTTTTCAATGTATTCATTTAAATAATAGATCATGGATTTACTAGAATACAATTATATGTTATTCAGCACACCCCATTTTGAAAATGAATGTATTAGTTTGCACTAGTAAACTAGAGAATGTGCTAGTTTTTGGACCACTATCATCAGTTATTTTGTTAGATAAGCTCCAGATTTGGCTTCAGTACTGACTAATCTAATGCATATGCACAAATATAATGTTGTAAAGCTTCCAATTAAAAATATGAATTTAAAAGATAGATTTGTGAGGGGTGTACTTATATATGCTGAGCTCTGTATATATAAAATATATTATGTATAAGGTGAGAAGGACCCATGGCCTGCTTCTACCAAGATTCTGAAGAGCACTTTACAATCCCATGAGGCCATGGGAAAGATTTTATGAATGAAGGCAGGTAGGTCATGTGACAACATAGTAAATCTAGTATATACGAATTCCATTCATACTACTCATATTCATGCTATGCAGAAACTTTTTTTAACAGCCTAGTCAGTATTTCACATTTCAGTGCATAATTAGTTTTAAGACACAAAACCTGCATAAGTACATAACAGACTAGCACTTGACATGTTTTCACAACAAAAAGCTTTACCCTCGTCCAGTGTCTGCAATTTCTTTAAACTTTGAGCACTAAACATGTCTTTCTACCCATTTAAACTTGAGCCGAAGGTATCCTCTTAAGAAACTGTGAAACAATAGTCTTAACCATTTTTGCCACCTTCTAGACCAGTGGTCACCAAACTTGTTCCTGGAGGGCCGGTGTCTTGCAGATTTTAGCTCCAACCCTAATCAAACACACCTGAACAAGCTAATCAAGGTCTTACTAGGTATACTTGAAACATCCAGGCAGGTGTGTTGAGGCAAGTTGGAGCTAAACCCTGCAGGGACACCGGCCCTCCAGGACCGAGATTGGTGACCCCTGTTCTAGACTAACTATTAAAAACAATTTGCAGGAGGAAAATGATGCTGTGCATGTTCTGATGATGGTACTCACATCACTGTGCACATACAGGACCTTAGCATACATACAAAAAAAAAAAGAAAAAAGAAAAAAATCTATATATTTAGCTGTCAAATTCAAAATGTTGACGTTAATCTGCTTTACAGACTTTATTATCAGTTGTCAAAAAGTGGCAACCTTTCATGTTTGTAAAAAGATAAATACATATTGATATTATTTTAATCTTTAAATGTACTGTTTGTTTCAGAATTATCAGTTTTCACATATTTCACATATGTTCTATGATATTAAAATATGTTTTAAAACTGTAAACGTCATATCCAACAGTCGTTACAGACCATAATGTTTAATGCATGTAATCCAACTTATGTAACCACATGGAAATACCTTTTAACTTAATAACTTTTTTGCATTCTGTCCTTGAAGATCACACTGGTACGTGACAATATGTATGACATTCTGCTTGATTTCGGAATAATGGAAACAGACTGTCTGAAATATGCCAGAAGAGCATATATGGACAGTTGCCTTTTCAAACGGGAACGTTTTGCGGTAAGAATCAGAATATTTCCCTCTGATTGCTGTATAAGTCTGTCCCTTCACCATGACCTCACAGTAAAATCTCTCACCTTCAATTCTCTTTCTGAAGTCAAAGGAATTGTGCTCCAGTCTTGTGCGTGTTGGCGGCACGTTTGTGGCTCCTCTGGACATCAGCTGTATTGCTGATGTAGATGCACTGAGGTCCAGCTCAGAGTCCAGCAGCGAGGAGCTCTTTTTCCAGAGGACAAGACCTGCTCCATTGCGCTCTTTCTCTCCAGGAGTCATTCTATGCCAAGGACAATTTGACTGTTCCAGATTACTGCTGTGATTTGAAATAAATGTGATTAAATCAAACACACTTTTACAAGATGCATCCAAGAGAGAGAGGAAAAGAAAAAAAAACAGAATCATGTTCTAACAAGCTTAAACTGTTATAAAATGAAGTGTTTAGTCATAGATTGCAGCGGTGTGTGTCGTAATCGCTCGAGTAATGTACTACCCAAGGCACATTCTTTTACATTTGGTTTTAAAAGGCGCATACACTTGTGCACATAATATATTGTTGTTGTTGTTGTTTTGTCCATAACAGACTAGCATTATTATTCATATCATTTTGAAATCAAAGGATTTTCCATAAGATTTTTAATTGTATGATGATAATGAACCATAAAAATAACACGAACTTGGACAACATTCTGTGATTTACACAACTATATTGTTCAGTTTATATGTAACAGACATTTACTTCCCCACTTATTTAACTAAAGGTTCCTGACTTTAAGAAGCAGCATTAGCTCTGTACTCCTCCTTCTGTTCCTACATTTTCATTAGCCTTTGGAAACGCGAATCCATAAAGTACACATTTTCTCAGCAGACGTATTCAAGTTTGCTAGATGGACGACAATGACAATAGGCACACAGTGAATTTTTTGCATTGTACGTCAAGTAAAACTTGACATGACACCTTTTATTTTGTGGCTATGATCCTAAACCCTACAAAGTGTGCAATCTTAGGCAACCATACTGTGGAAGCATGCATGCTAATGTCAGTACATTTTGGCATTGCCGAGACATGAAAGATAGATGTTCCAGATATGTGACACTTTAATACAGCACTGAATAATAAGGAGAACGACATCACTTCCTATTGTGTGTTTCACCCATGCAGAGCTAACGCACATTGATAAAGTCAGGAACTGCAGCTGTATGTACAGATAGATAGCAATGTAACAAACATAAACAGACAGCACATCCCATCCCAGACACAGGCCAGCTACACACTCATGTGGTAACTCATTTTCACTGTCTAACATTTGGACATCTTCATGAAAAGTAAGGGTCCACAATGACACAACATAACAGATTCATCAATAACAATGGTAGCGGTTTTTCTTTCTCCACATTTTAGTGAAAGGTTCTAAATCATTTAAATTAAATCTGGAAAATTTGGTAGAATACTTCATTTAGAACGTATGCTACACAAGTGCAACTCCCACATTGGGATCTGCACTACGAGTGAGGGTGGCTTAATTACCTGTCCCTCGCTATTTGTCTGAGAGTGGATCAACCAAATCACTCAGATAAAATGCGCGCACGCACACACACACACACACACGCACACGCACACACACACACACACACACACACACACAAGCATCAGTTCAGCAACCCTGATTTTCTATCAACGTTTAACGTTTACAGTCAAGGGTTTCAAAACTAAACTTTAAAATAAGAATATATTTCAGGTATTAAATAATTTCATATAAAAAAGTACAAGTTCCCTCCCACCCCAGAGTTCCACATATATATTTTATAATACATATACATCATCCCCCTTCCTCACAGCAGTGTCCATGCAGTACCTATAATAACAACGTCAGTCTCTTTTTCTCAGTATTTTTTTTTAGATCTGCTACACTTAATAGCAAAGCGGCACAAACACGCAGAGAAGCTTATGTTATAGATGGTTTGGCTTTTTCATATCGTGGTTATAATCTGGAGTTAAAATGAGTATTATTTTAATGCAGATTTTTCAGTCACTGAAGACAGAGTGGAAAAGGAGTCACATAGTCATACTCGGCACATGTCCAACTACCACTCGCTTGTCAGTTTAGTGTTTTGGTCCCGTTTGGGTGGAGCAGGTGGGGGACCCCGCCGTAATGTTGCATAGCCTGAGATGTTGGCGCTCGTGTATCCACCCTTTTTCTGCTGGCCCAGCAGCAGCTCTGGAGGAGGGGGTGGAAGGGCCATATCGTCCATTGTGGCTACAGGCTCCAGCTTGGCTGAGATTCGGGAGGAGGTGAGGGAGCCATGTCGAGTCATGGACTTTCTTTTGAGAGTTCTGTTGAGGTCTTCCAGGAAGTTGGGTTGCATGGAAAGATTTGCCTTGGGAGACGTAGGTGGGATCTGAGAGTTAAAAGAGGACAGAGGCATCTGCTGAGGAGGTGGAGAAAGAGCTAGCTGCTCAGGTGGGCCACTGCTGCGGCGATGCATAGTAGGAGGGGGCATTTTCTTCAAGGAGCTCTGCTTCCATGAGGATGTGGAGCTGGAGGAATGCTGGGGTTGTGGGTTCACCACAGCCACTTTGGGAGCCCCAATGTGCAGTTCTGATGGAAGAGGTGGTGGAGGCAGGAGTTCGGAGTCTGGCGGTGGAGGGGGAAACTCACAATCCAGAGGAGGAGATGGAAAGTCTGCGCTGGATTGACGACAGTGACTTTGCCTCCCCTGTAGAGCCAAGGGCAGATTAGCTAAGTTGATCTTGCCTGGTTTTGTTAGTGCCCGAGAAGACTCCTTGGAGGGTGATCCTGTTGTAGAGGATGGAGTTGAGAAGGAGCTGGGTGGGGCTTGACTTGTTTGACCAAACATGCTGACCAGATCCTCCACTTTCTTAGACTCCTGGTACTCAACAGAAGAAGTGGCCTTCATGCTAGAATTGCGCTGTGGCGTTGGAGGGGGCTTCTTTCCTCCTGAACCAGTAGAAGAATTTGACGATGTTGATGGGGATTTTTTGATTGGTGATCCAGATTTACCAGAGGGCTGTGAAGCAGGAGGAGGACTTGGAGCAGGAGGAGGAGGAAATTCAAGGGTACTTTCTGGAGGAGGTGGAGGAAATTCAGGAGACTGTGGTTGTGCCTGTCCTCCTGGTTGCCATTTAGGCTTGTTTTTTACCACAGGGGGAGATATGGGACCTTTGGATCCATCAAGGGTATCGGGAAACTGGTTAACAATCTGTTTTACAAGTGACTGGGTTGGAGAGATAGGAGCAGATACAGATGGAGCTTTGGAAGAAAGGCTGTATTGTTTGGGAAGGGTAGGCGGCGGTTGATTGGGACTGTGCCCACTGGAGAGGCTCTGCTGTTTCTTCATCAAAGAAGGGGTTGGAGAAAGAGAAGGTGGCACAGGGGAAATGGGGGAAATGCCATGGCCTGGCTTTGGAGCTGTTTGGGGTGGAAACCCACCAGTAAATGTTTTAGGAGGAGCAGGTGGGCCTGACTGCTGAGGCGGTGGAGAGAAACATACTGGAGGAGGCGGTGGAGGTTCTTCATCTTGCTGGACAGGTGAGAAGTCATAGGTCATATTGGGGAACTTCTGAGCTAAGAATTGTTGGAGCCCATTGGTACTGAGGGGAGGTGGATATTTTAACTGTTCTGGGGGTGGTGGTGGAGGCAAATATCCGTTACTGTGTAGATAAGATGGGTCTTCCTCTGGAGGTGGAGGGGGAGTGTACTGGGGGCTTATAGGGGCATGCTTTAACACTGCCATGGCCGATCCTGGCACTGGCATTTCTGGAGGAGGTGGTGGTGGTGGGGCTGGAGGAGGACTGCTGGCAACTTCAGTTGTGTTATTCATAAGAGGTTTGAGACACTGTGGGGGTGGCACAGGGGGCGTAGGTTGTTGCTGTGCTGCTAATAATGGTGTTTGTTTGTAATGATTCGGAGCCTGGGAGATGTTTTGCAGCCTTGCAAGGGTGCTGTACTTAGTGAACACAACTGGGGTGGAGTGGTGTGTGGGGTTGGGAAGTGGAGGAGGTGGCGGAGGTGGTGGTGGTGGAGAGGGGGGTGAGGAAGGTGATGCTGGAGACACTCCGCTGTAGCTGCTTCGAGACTGCAAAGACTGGGGCAGTGGGGGGAGTTGCAGAGGGTAAGAAGCTCTTGCAGGCTGTGCGGGGGGGCCATCAATTCTCATCTGTGGATAAAACAAAGTGGGTTATATTAGAACAGGAGCTTGAATGATGCATTTGACATAACTTTTTTAAAAGAAGGTTTTAGTGGTGCACAATAAAATGGGAATGGAATTAATAGAAACTGGGAAATTAAATGTTATTAATTATTAAAGGAGCACTCCACTTTTTGGAAATAGGCTCATTTTCCTCTAGAGGTAAACAGTTTTACTATTTTTGCATCCATTTAGCTGATTTCTGGGTCTGGTGGGACACTTCTAGCTTAGCATAGCATAGATCATTAAATCAGATTAGACCATTAGCATCTCAAATATTTTAAGCTAGAGTCTTCTGTAGTTACATTGTGTACTGAGACCAATGGGAAAGTTGCTAATTTCTAGGTTGATATGGCTATGAACTATTCTCTAATTCACACTCACATAATGATTAAGGAGCTTTGCTACCATACCATAATCACAGCAAATGTGATGATATCATGAAGTGTAACCACAAAAGAGTCAAGCTTAAAATAAGAAAATTAAAATGTTATTATTAGATGCTAATGATCTAATATGATTTAATAATTTATGCTAAGATAAAAGTGCTCCCAACCAGATCCGTTGATAAGCTGAATGGATTTAAAAATGGTAAAACTTTAGTTTTAACTTTGTCCTAAACCTGTTTGACATTAAGTGACTTGTAAAATGAGTCAAGGGGGTAAGCAAGAACCGATAATATTCATTTAGATGCTTATCTAAACACTTTCAGTCTCACAACATATGAAGAGTTCAGATGCAAAAGCTGCTAAACGCCACTTCTGCCGAAAATGAAAAAATGACATTGAGTGAATGCTTTAGGCATGTAGTACATGTTCAAAATTTTGTCTTGTTTGAAATCATCTAAATCCCAGCGTCAGCGCATTCAGAAATAACAGTTTGTTTGTAAAAGCGGCTAAACGCAACTTGCCTTTGACAGCAAAAGCTGCTGTATACAAAGAACCAATCAGAAGGCGCGAATTGAATCATGTGTTTTCAGTGTATCAGTGTATTAAGAAGAGAAAAGACAGTTTTACTACGCTTTCAATTTTAAAATATGGAGTTTGATGAATTGGATGAGGCTGTTCGACTTTCAGTGAATGGAAAATGAAAATGTCCTTTACTGTCAAAAGTGTAACATGCATTCATACAATTTGTTTACGCAGCGACAGTACTTTGAGCAAGTCCGATTTACTATAGCTAAACACCAACTCCATTTCACAAAAGACAAAGTTAAGATGCCTTTATCTTGCAAGGATGCTATGAGGATAAACAATAGGTGAAAAAGAGACCAAGACCTTGAGTAAAGTGAAGATGAATAAATGAGCTTCTGAGAGACATCTTTTTTGCACAGTAAGTCTA